GAGGGAGGTTAAGCCACAACATTTTGGCTTGGAAATTGAAGAACTGGTACTTACGTCTCTTTTAAGAGTAGTGTTTAAAATTTGCTCTCTAATAAGAGGATTATTATGATATATCCATAAAGCAACTCAGTGCTTGATATAAGGTTTAAAAATATTTTTTTAATGTTTTCAGTGAATGTCAATTTTCACTGTCTCCTGGACCAAATAAAACATTTTCCAAAGCTAACTGAAGCTATACCCAAGTTCATCAGTGCCAAATAGGAGGGAAAGACTTTTTAATTAAGCCCTGGGATGATTGTTTTACAAGAAAGAATGACAAAGAGTTAACAAAATCTACCCAATATGCACTTCCCAACAAAGGGGTTTATAGTAGGTCAGCAAACTATGGCCCGAGGGCCAAATCTGGCTGCTGCCCATTTTGGTAAATAAAGTTTTATTGGAACACAGTCACATTTGTTTGTTCAATATTATCTATGACTGCTTCTGCATCACAAAGGCAGAGTGGAGTAGTTACAAGAGAGATCCACAAAGCCTGAAATACTATGTCGCCCGTTATAGAAAATGTTTTCAACCACTCGTTTAATAAGAAAATAGCGCTTGTGAACTGGATTTAACAAGAGAATACATGCTCCATCAACCGCACAGTCCTTTGGGCACCGTAATGTCAGGACTGGTGGAATCTGTCATCTATAACTCCCGTTACGTGGATCTTACGCTTATTTTATGGACTGGAAGACTGAATTACTGCTTCCAGCTCTTTGCTCCCCCCTGTGATAGAATTATACATCCTGCCACGTTGCCATGTGACCTTGCGGTGTTTCTTCAGTGCTGGCAGGGGATATATTCCCGCCTGACTGGCTCGGGGCTTGGCTGCGTGATCTGCTTTCTGTAGGAACGTGGGCGAAGTGGCCGCGTGCCAGGTCTCAGGTGTAAGGAGCTGGGCAAGATTCTGCCGGCCTCCTCCAGGGTTCCCACCGTCCCCTCCAGAAGAAGACGGCCCGGGGGCTAGTGCTCCTCCAGCCTCAGTTTTGGAATGAAGACACGTGAAACAGACCTGAACCCAACTTGAAACCTGGAGTCCAGCCTAGTCCAGCTGAGCTGAGTTGAGCCCAGTCAAGAGTGGCTGAACCCCCGCCAACCTAAAGAACCACGGGTGTAAAATAGAAGGTTTGCATTCGTAAACCACTGGTAGTTTCTGAGGATATCGGTATGCAGCAGCATCACAATGACAGTAACAAAAAAAGACTGATACACATGGTCATGTACTGCTGTGTTTTGGGGCTAACGAGAGACCAAACCTTCCCTTTGTAAATGGGCCAGAGCCTCCTGTCAAGAAAGTCACATTCATTCATTGTGACATTGTAGGGTCAGCCCTGTCAGTTAAACCAGGGAAAAGGCCTATTTCTGAGATGGGAACAGAATAGAAACTGAATGGACCCAAGCTTCGGAAGCCAGGATTACAAAAAGTGAGGCCAAGAGAAAACCACCTGCAGATGGCACCCTCACTCATCAACAGGCCAGCTGCTAGGGAGTAAGAACCCCAAGCCGAGCACCAGAAGCCACATACCAGGAATCAGGAGCCGAGTTTAGATAAGAAACGGAGCAAGACTTTGCACTCCGGGAGTGAGCTTATAGAATCAGACCCTTCTAATTTATAGGTGGAATGCCTTTATGCTTCTTATATTTTCTCCGTTTCACTCCTGTGCTCCCTTAGTGAATAAATTGTGTTGTGTTCCAGATGTTCTCAGCTGGGCTGGGTAGAGAAGAAGGTATTCTGGTCCCTGGCCAGGCTAGAGCTTTAAAGAGTGTGAAATGCTCTCCTAGAGGCCAGCATGAGGCTGCAGCACAAATTGTGACACCGGAGCCTGGAGAAAGGGGACACCTGGGCAGGGCATTGCTGGCTACCTGGCCAGACTGCCTCCCTAGGTAGAGGTTTCATTCTAGGACTGACACGTGGGCTGTTCTGTGCTTCAAGGTTGGAGAAACTCTCCTACAGGGACAGATTCTATATGAGAATAGAAACACTTCCTCAGAACACGTGAATATTTTTTTTCTGGTCAGGAACTCAGCCGGAGCAGAGAGCCACAGGAGACCATGGGTTACCACCACCAGGGCTATTTAACCCCCCACAAGCAGTGCCGATACAATCACGAGAAAAATACCTCTCTGATTCATACGGATCTGGAAGAAGAGCGTTGGTGGAAATGCAAGATGAAGTCGACTTATCGAAGTGGTACACCGAGCCTACAAAGCAAACGAAAATCTCAATCCAGCTGCAGAGTTAGGGAAAAGCATAGAAAACATTTCTCTCTACCCACGGGACTGGAAAGAGTTAAATAGCAAAACATGTTATTCAAGTTATACCAACTAGAATGAAAATCTTCAGTATAAATGGACAGACAGCTTTTAGATTTGCTCTTTAGTTTTAGTTTTGGGTGTAAATAAATAATCATCATAGGTATCTCTTAAAATGCTATTTTTTTTTTTCTTTTGACATTTCTTTATTCAAACGTTTTAAAGGATGCTTGTGTAATTAAATTTTTTAATCAAGAAAATGCTTTGTTGTGAAATTTTGAGAACTCTGGTCAGATCAGATTGGATAATGGTTTTAAAATTTTCTTGTGGTTTTCTTCCTAGTAGACAGTCTGTACAATCCAGCCACCAAGCCCTGGCAATTGTCTCCTTCACTAAAAATAAACATTTGGCTTCACCAGAATTAAGGAGAGCAAAACTACTTTTGATGAAGCATTTATAAAGTCATTCTATTTCTATTAAAGTGGTTCAGAAGTCAATTAGTAATTTATTCCAGAAAGTACAGTCCTAGAATTAACAGCCGTCCTAGAATTAACATTGGTTCTCTGCAAAGGATTAGCCTCAGAGGATCCTCCCGGAGCACAGGGAAGGCATACGATGCTCCAACCGCTAATGAGTAAAGAAACAAGTTTTGGAACTAGAGGGCTTCCTCCTGCAAAGTCAATTATTTTAGGCACTAAGGCATCACAAATAATTCCATGAAGCAATTCCTTAGTGGTTCCCAATGGTGACCAGGTCCTCTTTCAGTTTTTGTCTTAGAAAAACAACAACAATCACAACCCAAATTAATGTCTCAAACTAAAAGTTAGAAAACAATCTAGTCAGTCAGTGTCTAACCAGGCAACAGACCGCTTGAGTATTTCAAAGAGAGAGAACTGAATTCAGGGAAATGGTTGCACAGAGGATGGAAGAGCTGAGAAGCCGGGCAGGGCAGGGCAGGGCCCAGGAACTGCCAAGAGCAGGAAGCCAAAACCGTAAGCCAGAGGGACAAAGGCAGAGCTGGGGTTGCTGGATCTCTAGAGCTGGGGTTCCTGGATCTCTAGAGCTGGGGTTCTTGGAGCTCTAGAGCTGGGGTTCCTGGAGCTTGAGAGCTTAGGGTACCCAAGGAAGCTGGAACCATTGGGACCTTCCTGGTAAAAGATGGAATCAGGAGGCAGGCCACTGCTGGGGACACCGCTGGAAAGAGAGGGCTTCTTCCTGCTCCCTTCCCTCTGGTGTCCCCAGCCAGTGACTCTCTGTGGCCAAACCCAGACAGAAGCCAGAGGCACAGGAGCCTGGGAAATGCAGCCTGCAAGGGGCAGAGCCCCTGCAGTAAAAGCAGGGCAGGGAAAGAAAGACTGAGGCAGGGAATCTGAGAGCACACATCTGCGAGCATGCTGGTAATGGACCAGCACACGCTCCGTTAAAGGAAGTTAGGTCGAAAAAGGAAAAACAATACCACGTTTTAACCACTTTTCTGTGAAATACATATCCTATTGTGCAGAAATCCTCTTATGAACCTCCATCACCTTTCCTTCGACTAACGCTTCCATCACAGATGTACTAAGCACACCACGTGTAAAGCACTGTGTTAGGGGCTGTGCAGACACAAGCAGGAGTAACATCTCTTCCCGTTTTCAAGGAGTTGATGCCGCCGTTTCCAGTGCCTGCTGTCCCTTCCCCCGCTCCCTTAGGCTGATGCTCCAGGCAGACAGGACGCATCCTTTACTGTTCCTCCTTGCCTCTCTAGGCTACACTAGGACCTGTGGCCTGAAACACTGATTCTAAGAGGTGAACCAAGTCTCCCTATGTGCAGAGGGGAAGAGATGGAGAGAAGACATTCCAGCCAGAGGCGTAATGAGGAAATCAGCAAGAAGAAAGTGGAGACCCAGAAGCAGTCCGTGGTGACAGAAGCGTGATGAGAAAAGGTGTGGGGCAGAGGTCAGGGGGGAAAGGTTAGGGAAGAGGTCAGGGAAGAAGCAGGCCAGCCGTGTTTCAGGTGAGATATTTGTGCTCAGGTTTACTCTTCCACCCCCAACTGCTGGGCCAGATAGGGCCCTGTAAGACAAGGCCTATCGGTTAGCCGGCGGTTCAATAAATGTAGCTGATCGAGGCAGAGGGGAGAAACAAAGTGGCAGAACATCAGAGATCTGCGCAAAGAAGCCTCAGTTCCAGACCCTGCCGAGGTCCTTTAAAGACCTGAGGCTGCCAGGACCTTGCCAACACCCCCCCTTCTTCTGCCTTAAGTTAGTTTGAAGAGGGTGTTTGTTATTTGCAACCTTGAGTTCTAAGAAACACCATCCTTCCCGAGAATGATCACTCTTGCTTCCCAAAATCTGTTTCTTACTAATACCGAGAAGAATGTAATAACAAGCGCTTTCAATATGATGTTTTATGCTAGGTGCCGAGATGTGTATTTTATAAGGAAAAAGCGGGTTCTGTCAAGAATATAATACAGTAAATGTTGGCACTAAGACTCAAATTAGGTGACTTTTTCCCCACTGTCATTATTTATTCTCTTATAAAGTTTTAAATGAAATGTATTGATTAATAACATTATGTAAGTTTCAGGTATACAACTTGTCACCCAAAGTCTAGTCTCCTTCCATCACCACATATTTGACTCTTCAGTGCAAGGATCTTGCCATTAAAACTGCTGTGATTTCTGAAGTTTTAAAATTTGCATCAATTGGGATCCTCTGGCCAAGTGTGCTCATTTCTAAACATTATGATGCTGTCTCCTTTCAGAACATACGTGAAGAGCACAGATATTAGAATCTGAAGTTCAAAGATTAATGTTTCACTGAAAATTTTTTTTTAAATTTTGGAATGATTTTAAATCTACGGAAAAGTTGCAGAGATAGTACAGAGAGTTTCCAATACCCCTCACGGTTTCTCCTAATGTTAGCTTTTTATGTTACGTGGTACATTTGTCAAAATTAAAACCCTAACATGGCTACATTACCATTAACTAAACTCCAGGTTTTATTCAGATTTGACCAGTTTTTCCACTAATGTCCTTTTTCTGTTCCAAGATCCAGTCCAGGACCCCACATTGCATTTAGATGGCCTTAATTTTTAACTTAAAATAAAACCAAAAATAAACAATGGCACATTTAAGACAACCCAAGTTGGACCTAAATGTAAAATGCTAGATTTTCTATGTTTGGTCAACTTTCCTTTAGAGAGTCTCTTCAGATCATAAATAGCTGAAGGTTATTCAGGCTTATTAATGTCTACATTTATTATCTTTTCTGCTTTTTTTCTTCTTATAACTTAACTTGGACTGGAAATACACCATCACAGTGGACTAGACAAAAAGAACAAACTTCTCTCAAATCAGCCCTAACCACCTGCTTTGGGACCAGAGCAGCCCACCTGGAGCCCATTCAACTTACTTCCAGGCATCAGCTCAAAGTGAGGCCTGCCTTCCTCAGTGGACATCAGGGCAGCCAGCTTTCCTTCTATCATCTCTCCATCAATGAACTTCCCGTAAAGCGCAGTCCTCTCATCAGGGTACACATAGGCTATCTTCTCCCCAGTCATCTCCCCATCTTCATTGACTTCTCCTACCAGGCTGCCTCCATCCTGACGGGGGAAACCAAAATCCAGAAAAATTACATAGAGTATTTATCTGCATGACATGAGCTTAAAGAAATTTCTCTTGGGCACCCCTACTGCGAAGAGCATGAATATGGGCCCTAACAGTTTAAGGACTCGGAGCTCTTCACAGGAGTGAGAAGCACATCCAGCCCCCAAGAGCAAACTACTACAAGTTACGTGCGTGGAGCCCGAGTTAGAGCGCCAGAGGCTGAGTCGAACTCTCTGATCCTGGACCAGTTACTGATACTCAATCTTGGTGTGTTACCTAAGAACCAAATCTGTCATATTTGTAATATTAGTTACAAACAATGAAAGGACATGGAACAAGTGCTACTGTGGGCCATTACCCGTGTGCTGAGCCTTACCTACTATCCATCTGTGCAATCTCACTCCTCAGTGTTGAACTTGGGATTCCTGGTCAATTAGGAAAACTTTTAGTTCAAATGTACTTAAGAATTAGTTTAGTGTACATGAGTAAAGGGAGTTGGCTGCATTTTCTAAGAGACAAATAAAAGGACTTCTGGATACTGCCTTTCTGAGAACCTCACGCCATCACTTTTTTTGGAGTTAGAAGAAAAAGTGAAAAAAGATCAACGAAATTGCACTTACTTCCCCATCACGCCC